TATCCTACAGGCAGTGAGTGAGGTGTCTCTTCATAGAAACCAGGAAAGATGGCTGTTCCAGAAGAAGGGAAACATGAGAGATTTTAGTACCAGACAGGTGGGATATTGGCACAACAGGTTTTAGTAAGGTTGAAAGATTATTAACTTATTTTCAGGGAGGGTCTTGCTGTATTGCCCAGACTGGCCTTGAGCTTGTATTTCTCCTGCTGCAGCCTCCTGAGTAGCTGGAATTGTATCCATGAATCACCACACCCAGTTTAGGTTTTCAAAAGTGTGAAGTCTGGTGTAGTGGTGCATTCCTATAATTCCAGTACTTTGGGGAGGCTAAGGCAGGAGGATAACAAGTTTGAGGCCAGCTTGGGCAATTTAGTGAGACTCTGCCTACAAACAAACAAACAGAGCAGCCTTGGGGATCTGGCTCAGTGCCAGGGCCCTGGGTTTTATCCCTAATAAAACCAAAGCAAACCAAAACAAACCAAAACAGTTATTATGGGCAGGATTCCCTAAAGACTCGGAGTGCTGTGCCATCCTACTGGTATCCCTACCTTTTTGAACTTGTTTTAGAGTAATGTATTTTTCATCGGAGCAATGGCTAAGGAAAGCAGAGTGACACTTGATTCTTGACACTTCATCATAGAGATTGCTGGTAAACTGGGCTATATAGCATAGGAAGTTCCTCCTTTTCCTAAACTAGTTAGCCTTGCATTTGTGATACTTGTTTTATTGTTTGTAGTACCCAAATCTGACTCTAACTGCACCAGAGAAAGAGGCTGAAGAGAGTGCGTTATACCAAGTACACTGACTTTTTCATACAATTATATCTCCGCTAGCAAACATGACCTAATAAATAGCTGGCATCTGATCCCAGATTAGCAAACTTTATTAATTGAGGATGGAGCTCTCATTTCTTAGCTATTTTCATTAGTTTTATTAGTATTTCCAATTAAAATATTTCACAAATATTGTATAAATGTTTTTGTTTTATTTTTTATTTTTTTGACATTTTGAGACAGGGTTTTGCTATGTAGTTAAGGCTGCCCTGTCAACTCACTATGTAGCACAGGCTGGCCTCTAACTTCTGGCAATCCTCCTGCTTCAGCCTTTCAAGTGCTGGGATTACAGGCATGAGCCACCATGTCTGGCTTCTATAAATGTTTAGATGTTAAAATTACCTGCAATGATTTGATGACAGGTTATTTATTAAATTCATTTAAACATTTATCAGCGTTCTTTTAGCAGTTGGTTTGGTTTTTGATCAATATTTATTGGTTCCAATTTAAAATATTTAGGTTCAGAGAGTAATATACTAAGAAACCAAATGAATAAAAGTAGGAATATATTCAATAAGAGAAGTATAAAACCTATAGTATCCTAAGTGCTACAAAACATTGTTGAAAAGAATTAAGGAAGACCTAAATAGATACCCTGTCTTAACAGATTGGAGGATTTAACATTCTTAAGGTGGCAATATTCCTTAAACTGATCCACAGGTTCAACAGAGTCCTCAAAAAAGTCCTAACTGGTTCTCTGCAGAATAGTAGGGCTGATCCTAAATTTCATATGGAAACTTAAGAGACCAGGAATAGCCAAAGCAGTCTTGAAAGAGGGGGAACTAAGGCAGATGACTCAATGCTTTCCGATGTCAGAACTTTATATTATAATCCAGGTTCTATGTTGCTGGCATAAAGATAGACCCATGTGTTAGTTTTCCAGTACTATTATAAAATAATTGATATTATCAACTGAAAAATATTCGGATTTTGTTTTCATCTGCATTTTTGAAGGTTTCAGGCCATGGTTGCTTGACCTTGGTGCTTTTGTGTCTCTTGCAAGACATAATATATCATAATAAGGAAACCCATTTACTTCATGATGAGAAATGAGAGGAAGCAGTCAGAGTCCCGTAAACACCTTTCAGGACACACTGATTTTTTGTTTTTGAGACAGGACTTTTTGTTGTTGTTTGTCTTGTTTTTTTTTTTTTTGAGACAAGGTCTCACTTTGTAGTTCAGGCTGGCTTTGAACTCACTTTGTAGCCCAGCTTGGCCTCAAACTTGCAGCAATCCAACTGCCTCAGTCTCCTGAGTGCTGGGGTTATAAGCATGTGCTGCCACACCCACTTGAGACAGGATCTCGCTATGTTACAAACTGGCTTTGCATTTGCTGTGTAGCCCAGGCTGGTCTTGAATTCTAGATCCTTTCTGCCTCAGCTTGCTGCGTGCTAGGTCAAGGACATATTCTTAATGACTGGAAGAGAAGGATTTCTACTAGGCCTTACCTTTTATAGCTCCATAACTTCAGAATGTCAAGTTGGGTCTAAGTCTTTAACAGATGGGCCTTGATGGAGGGCATTTAAGATCCATACTATAATAGCACATAATTAAAGAGATAGAATTGAAAGTCCATATATTTATAATCAGTTAATTTTTGACAAGGATGTCAAGACCATTCAGTGGAGGAAGAATGGTCTTTCGAACAGACAGCTGTAGGAAAATTAGATACATTTATTTGAATCCTTTCCTTGTACCATATATCAAATTAATTCAAGATGGAGCATAGACCTAGAGATAAAAGAGAAATCTTGTAGAGAAGAATAGCCACATGTGATGGCACACACATGTAATCTAAACTACTGGGAGGCTGAGGCAGGAAGATTGTAAATTTGATCCCAGTCTGGGCACTTTGTGAGTCCCTGTCTCAAAATAAAAAATAGGTGGAGATGTGGCTTAGTAATAGAGTACTTGCTTAGCATGCTTGAGGCCCTGGGTTTGATTCCCAGTACTGAAAAACAAAACAAAACGAATGACACCCAAATGACAGCAACAACAAACAACTCTTAGAAAAAAATATAGGTGTAAATCTTGACCTTCATAGGTACAAAGTCTGCTGAGATATGACACCAGAAACACAAGTGATGAAAGAATAAATTAGACTTCATCAAAATTATAAACTATTCTGCTTCAGAGGATACACCAAGAGTCAAATGACTACCAACAAAATGAGAAAAATCATTTGCAAATCATATGTTCTGTGACTTCTATCTATAATAAAGTAGAACTTTTAATTATAATATAACCTAGTTTCATAGTGAACAAAGTTATTGTTAAGGGGCAGAAGTTTCTTTTTGGGATAATTAAAATATTATAAATTGATTTTGGTAATGAATGTGTAATTCTTTATACAGTAAGATTCATTGAATTTTGTACTTGCAGTGGCAAATTGAGAGTATGTGCCTTGTATTTTTATAATGCTTTCATGTTAAAAATAAGTAGAACTAAAAAAAAAAGTGGAACTATACAATAATAGAAGAATAAATATTTTTGATAACCAGGTCATAGAAGAAATAATTTTAATTATGACTTCAAGGTAAAGGTGGAAGTGAAATGAAGAGAAATATTTTATTTTGGTCAATAAACACACTACATCCTTTCCTCCCTCTATACTGTGAAATGAACAGAAATAAGAGATGCCTGTAAACATTAGTAGAAAGTAATTTGTGCCAGTTCATTTTCCCCTTACTGAGTCAAGTTGCTGCCAAATCTAATAAGAACAGCATAGATGAATAAGAAACTCACATTAGGGTCCACAGCTTTTTAAGGTGACCTTAAAGTTTAAGGAGACTTTATTTATACTAAATTCTGAAATGAGAACAAAGCTTGATTTATAGACTTAGGAAATTTTAGGCTTTGTCCAAGTTACAGTGACTGTATCTTACCCTCAAACAGTCATTTATTTTGTTTGTACAGTTCGTTGGTCTAGAATTAGAATGGCACCCAGTGCTCAGTTTTTTCCTTTGCTGGTGCTGGGAATGAAACCCAGGGCCTCATGGATGCAGTGTAGATGCTCTGCCACTTTGCTGACTTCTTGACTTTGCTAGAACAAGTAGGAGGCTCGGTACGAGTCATCTGAAGGTTGCACACTTAGTACCTCGTTCTTTCTTTTTGTTGTTTTGTTTTGTTTTTCTCCGGTACCGCGAACCGAACTCATGACCTTGCGCTTGCCAGGCAGGCGCTTTGCTGCTGAGCTAAATCCCCAGCCCCTAGTACCTGGTTCTTAAAAAATTTTTATTCTTCTATTATTGTATAGTTCTTCTTATTTTTTTTTAGTTCTACTTATTTTTAATTCTATTTATTTGGCTGTTGGTGCTGCCTGTGGTTATGGACGTAATTCCTCTGCATATGAGCCGCTCCATGTCAGTAGTCTGCACATCCTCACAGTGTGGTGTGTGGGCCTCCAAGGCAGGCATCCTGAAAGAGTAAGAGCAGGGGCATTTGGCTGGCTTTTGTCACCTGTCTGTAGAAGTCATGCACTGTCATTTCTGCTGAGGTATCACAATATCCTGTTCAGATTTGGGTGGAGAGAAATGATTTTAGTGCTTAATAGAGAGGGACAGGCTGGGGATTTAGTTCAGCGGCAAAAGCACCTGCCTGGCCTGCGCAAGGTCGTGAGTTCGATTCCTGGTACCAGAAAAAAAAAACAAAAAAAAAAAGAGGGACATTATATTAGAAGAGCATAAAACACTGTTCTGAAGATACTACTGTGAAGATACCACTTACTGATGAGGACATTGAGGTCTCTGAGAAGAGGTATGCAGCATGGTCATAGTGATAATTCTATTTTGTGGCTGGGTTGGAGCTAGAATTTAGCTTTCTAGTCTCTAGGCTTGGGTCTTTCCTACTATACCACTCTGCTCCCATTTCCTGATCACTTGATCATTCACTCAGTCATGTACAATTGCCATGTATTATAAATAAGTTACTTGGGACACTAGTGTTCTCCCCTCAGAATTTTCTCAGCCCAGCAGAGCTGATGATAATAGGCAAAGCTTTTGGTAGAGTCCTGGCGTATGGTAGGCCTGCAGATGATGTTTCCTATGCCTTCCTTCCTCCAGTCTGGTTTTTATCAGAAGGCTTATTTGACTATTGAATAGGGAACCACTTCCCAATATCTAGAAATTAAATGGCAAACCCAGTTGAAGATTTTTATTTGCCCTTTTTCAGGTGCTCAGAATTTTGATGTCATACGGCTGTCAACTTACAGAACAGCTTGCAAATTACGATTTGTACAAAAAAGATGCAACCGTAAGTCATTTTTTCCTCATTTCTGTGATGGCGGTTAGGCCCCTGTTAATACTATGAAAGAAAATATTTTAATATCCTTTATGTCATAGTCTTATGTTGAATTGTTATTGTTTTAATTATTAGAATATAAACTTTATAATGGAAAGAATTTGTCATTTTAATCCTATATTCTTAAAATTTTAACAGTAGTGTAACTAGTTTTGAGACAGGCATGATGTTAATGTTCAGAAGGCGAATTGATTTTTTCCTTGTTAATATTAATGAAAGTAATATAATTTGTTAGCTTCTGGAGGAAAAGAAAGTATGTTTTGATAAAGATGTAATAATTTATTTTCTTGATTGAATTTAATATAACATAAATCAACTTTTTCTAACAATGATTGCTATCATATGAGTTATAAACTAGTGTGTATATGCATCTGTGTATGTATATATATATTACTTTCCATGAAGATAAACTCACTTAGGAATTATAGTGCTTTTTTTGTGTGTGTGTCTGAGTGCACTCCTGTGAGAAACTATAATGGAAAGAACATTAACCTAAGTATTGAAATCTTCAGTCCACTTAACAAGTGACTTGAACAGGTCACACTACATCTGATAACTTCTACCACTTACAAATTCTAGCTTAAAGTTCTCTCCAAGAATTTGTCCTGTCATTCTAGATTGAAGTCATGATCTTTTCTTCAGTGATTTCCCAAAGTGTTGTTTTTCATATTATGGATGTGACCCATTAATGTTTCATGAAGTAACTTTGGTGGTTGTAGCCATAACTTAAAGTGTGTAATACAAAAGAAAAAGAAAGGAAAAAATATTAGAGTGCAGCTTATGCAGTGAAAAATACTTCGTGAAACTTTTGTCTTTTATATATCTAGATGTGTATGTGTGATGATTTCTGTGGGTTGTGGCCAAAACATTTGAACATCACTGTGTTAGTAATTTACTTTTATAATTCTTCCCATAATAATTCATGGAAACAGTAACCTATGTCTGAGTGTTGAGAGTCTAAACTAGATTAGTGGTCTTAGCAGTGTAAAAGTAAAACTTGCATTTTTCTAAGAGTTTTATTTTGTTACTTTTTACATATGATTCTACAATTTACCTTGAAGTTTTGGGGGATATCTGTACAACATGAGTAAAAGTTAACCATCAGTTTTGTCCATATGTGTGTTTCATTGTCTCTATACCATTCATTGGAAGGTCATTCTTTTTCTTTACTGTCATAAACTTCTCTCATGTTGATTAGGAGAAATGTACAAGAGTATTTATAGCAGTGTCTAAATGTGAGAAGATCTATTCCTTTTTTTTTTTTTTTTTTTTTTTTTTTTTTTTTTTGGTTTTTCTCCGGTACCGGGAACCGAACTCACGACCTTGCGCTTGCCAGGCAGGCGCTTTTGCCGCTGAGCTAAATCCCCAGCCCCAGAAGATCTATTCCTGACTCTCTTGTTTTCCATAAGCTAGTGTTACTGACCTTTAAGCTCTATTGAAAGGAACAGTTAATGTTTAAGTGTTTGATCAATCTTACATGTCTATATTTGTTTACCTGCATATCCAATTTGAAGATAATCAATATGTAATACAACAACCATTGTTAATTTCCTGTTACCTTGTCTAAAATTCTACATTGCTTGTATTGTTTTTCTGTTATTTTCTAAATCTATGTGTGTTTGTTAATATGTTTTCATTCTTTTGTCTTTAAAGAAAAAAGCTAGTGTTATAGCTTGTGTCTAGATGTCCCTCCAAACCCTCATGCAGTCATAGGTGGAGCTTTTCAGAGTGTTTGGATCTACAGTGTGTGATGCTGGGATTAAGTATGTGATTACTAAATGAGTCCAAATGATTGATTCAGCATAGTTCTCAGTGTGGATAATGGGAAGGCCCACCCTGGGTATAAGTGCTACTTGCCCTGAGGGCATATAGCCTAGATAGACTTTAAGAGACAGAAAGAGAGCTACTTTCCTTGCTGCTCCTTCTTTGCTACTTCAGTAAGTACTTTGCAGCCTTCTACCCACCATGAACTGTTTCTCCTCTGTGAGGCTTGTCTGCTATACCACCTTGAAGCTGCCAACTATGAACTGAAACCTGTGCAAATTGTGAGCTGAAATAAACCTTTACTCCTTTAATTTTGGGTGTGGGTATTTTGTGTCAGCACTGAGAAAAGTAACTAAGACAGTTGTTCTGTCCTTGCACCAACGTCATACTCTTCCAGTAGCCACCATTATAGCTTTATATGTATGTATATATGTGTATGTATATTTTATATGTTTGTATAAGTCAGCTTGATGTCAGGTGGAGCAAGTTTTCCTACTTTATTGTGTTTTTTAAAAAATATTGTCTGGGACACGTGTGACCTTTTGATTTTTTTAATATAAAGTTTACAGTCTGCTTGTCAGTTGCTACTAAAAATGAAATAAAACAAAGAAGTCTACTGGGATTTCTTTTGTCAAGTAGAATTTACATGTAATGTACTATACTTTTTAATGTCTAGTCCTGCTGGATTTTGATTGAGACTGTGTAAAGCTATAGATCAAATTTAGGAGAACTGGCATATTTCCAATATGGAAATTTTCTCCTGGTACAGTGGTGTATTGATCTTCCATTTATTTGGGTGTTTAGTTTCTGCCAATTATATTTTGTAGTGATGTTGCACAACTTTCACTGAATTTATTCTTAGGTCTTTGTGACTTACGGTACTATTATAAGTAGTATTTTAAATTTTCATTGTATATCACTGAAATATAAGATATAAAATGACTTATATTTTGGCCTTTTATCTAGCAGTTGTTCTGGATCCACATACTAATTTTAGTAACTTAACGGTCACATGTTTATGATTTTCTATATGCCCAATTTTGTTATTTCTGATTAATGACTGTTATATTTATATTTATTTCTAATACTTCTACTACATTTATTTCTAATGCTGATTATTACTTTATCCTGCATATTTATATTTGTTAGGCCTCAAATATAGTAGCAATGGTGCTAGTGGGCATCTTTATCTCATTCCGAATTTCAGAGCAGAGGCTTTCACCATTTCCCTTGGAAGTGGTATATTTGCTGCAGGCTCTTTGCAGATACATAGCCTTAGCCAGATTAACTAAATTTGCTAGTAGGGTGTTTCTCCATTTCTTTTTTTTTTTTTTTTGTGTGTGTGTGTGTGTGTGTGTGTGTGTTTCTCCATTTCTAAAGGTAAGGTTTATTTTAAAAATTGTCCTTTTCGCTGGGCATGGTGCCACACACCTGTAATCTCAGCACAGAGGAGGCTGAGGCAGGAGGATCACCACAAATTCAAGGCCAGCCTGGGCTACAGAGTGAGTAGAGAAACCTTGTCTCAGAAAGACAAAAAAAAAAGTTTTTGATAATGACTTCTTAGTTTTATTTTGATTGCCTGGTTCATATGTGTTTAATCCTTTGCAATGTGTTGAGATTTACTTAACAGCTATGGTCAGTTTTTATTTTATTTTGTGTGCTGGGGCTTCATACATGCTAGGCAACTGTTCTATCCCTGAGCACCAGCCCTGGCCCCTGGTCAGTTTTGATACATATTTCTTGTGTTCGTCTATCTTTTTTTTTTTTTTTTCTGGTACCGGGAATTGAACTCAAGTGTACCAGTACACTTTCTGGTACTCGTGCTTGCCAGGCAGGTGCTGTGCTGCTGAGTTGAATCCCCAGCCCCATTTCTTATGTTCTTGAAAAAACACATTCTTTAGTCATTGAGAACTTTGTTCAATATAAGGCCTGTTCATTTCTTTTTATGGCTGAATAAAATTCTTTTCCATGTATTTACTAGATTTTGTTTATTCATTCAACATCGATGGACATTTGGATTGTTTCAACTTTTTTCTTTTTTTTTGGTAGTACTGGGAATTGAGTGCAGGGCCTCATGTATGCTAGGTAGGTGAGCTACCATTCCCAGCCATTTTCATTTTATTTTGAGGTAAGGTCTCGCTGAGTTGACCAGGCTGGGCTCAAACTTGTGATCTTCCTGCCTTCGCCTCCTGAGTAGCTGGGCTTACAGTTGTGTGCCACCACACCCAACTCTGCTTTTTGATTCTTATGAATAATTTCATTGAATAATCTGACAATTTCAGTTTCCCCAAATAGTCCTCAACACTTGATATTTTCTATATAAAAATTATAAGATCATCCTAGAGGGTATAAAGCCAGTATATCATTGTATAGTACTTTCGTTTTACATTTGCTTAATGACTAATGATATTGAGCATCTTTTCATGTGCTTTTTGGCTGTCTGTATCTCTTCTTTAGAGAAATATCCGTTAAGCTATTTGTCTTTTTTTTTTTTTGAGACAGGATCTCACTGTGTAGTTCAAGCTAGGCTTGAACTCACTATGTAGCCAAAGCTTGCCTCGAATTTGCAGTGATCCTCCTGCCTCAGCCTCCAGAATGCTGGGATTACAGGAGTGCACCACCACGCCTGGCCCTTATCTTTTTTCTTGATTTGTAAGAATTTTTATATATTCTGGATCCTTTATTGATGTGTGGTTTGCAAATATTTTCTTTCATTTTTTGGGTTGCCTTTTCACTTTCTTGCTCATACCTTTTAAGCACAAGAGTTTATATTTGAATAAAATTCATTGTATTTGCTTTTCCTTTGATTCCTTCTACTTAAGGTGTCTGGTACATCACCCCGAGAGGAAGGCATTGGTCGTCCCCCATTGTAGAGGTTCCATTCTATTCCTAATGTATTATATAGCATGTTTATTATGAAAGGGACTTTTTTCAATCAGATTTTATTGGTACATTTTATATATATATGTGTGTGTGTGTATATATATATATACATATATATATTTATAATGATCACATTCATCATAGAGAATTTGTACTGGTACATGATATAACTTGTTTATTCCCCCCATTCCATTGCCCTCTCTTCAACCCCTTCTCGCCTCCCCTTTTACAAAAGCTTTGTTTCCATGTTTTCTTTCTTTTCTTGTTTTTTTTTTTTTACTTTTCCCTTCTTTCTTTCCCCTCTCCCCTCTTCCTTGTTCCCCTTCCCTTTTTGAACATTTTCTTCCTGTTTCACAGTACCTATTATACATTTGGTTCTTATTCGCACTTTTGGTTTCTCACACCAGAGAGACAGTGTGGTATTTACATGTGTCCAGTTTATTTCACTTAAGAGGATGGACCCAAGGTATATCCATTATGAAGGGGACTTCGTCAAATGCTTTTTCTGTGTCTGTGGAGATCGTGATGCAGTTTTCCAATTACCCCTCATTTCTTATAAATAAAGTGACATCAACTCTCTTTTGAATAGAATTTGCAGTATTTTGCTCCCTTTGTTGGTTGAATTCATGTCATTCCAGTTCTCGTTCTTTCAAGCAAATGTCTCTTTTCTGTCTGAGTAATATTTACTTTTTTTTCCTGAACCACTAATGAGCCACTGATGATGGTGTTTTTATGGTTCATTGAGAATTTTTAGTCATTTCCAAGGGAACAGTAAATCTTACTATTTAACATATAATTGGACATGAAATTTAAAACAAAAATCAACTTCTTAATGGAAAAAAGCAAAAGACAAATTTATTTTTGGCTTAAATTGTTTAGGGTTCTTGAGTATGTAAAGCATATTAGTATTTTACTTAATGCAGTTGTATTCTCTTTTCATGCTATAGAGAGTAAAATTTGAGTTGTAAATATTGTTGAAATTGAAATTGCCATGGTACAATAGTAAAGTAAGGTAGCTCAAGATGATATAGAAAATAACTAAAAAGGCTGAAAGGTCTTATGAATAGCTATTTTTTTTTTTAACCTTTTCTAATTGCTAACTGCAGTGAACATTTACATGTATTGTGTGGGTCACTGTAGAGATCTGAAATGCCGGTTGCTTGGATATGAAGTCTGTAGGTTATATATGAAGTCTGAAGGCCAGTTGCTTAGATATGAAGTCTGGCTCTTTGATATCATCTGGATTGACATTCTCTGACACAGAATATTGTGCTCATTGTTACTAAAGAGTTTCTCTTTTTAACGTTAAAGACTAGTTGATAAATTAAAATGTCTAATTGTGAAGGTGGTGTATACTTTAAAATTGCTGACAGTTTGTTTTCTTCATGTTTTAGTTCATCTTGTTGATATCTGGAACATGATTGAAGCCTTCCGAGACAATGGCCTTAATACACTGGATCATACTACTGAGATAAGTGTGTCCCGCCTTGAAACTGTCATCTCATCCATTTACTACCAGTTGAATAAGCGCCTTCCTTCTACTCACCAAATCAGTGTGGAACAGTCCATCAGTCTCCTCCTCAACTTTATGATTGCTGCGTATGACAGGCTAGTACCTTACAGGCTTATTAGTTCATTTTAGTAATAACTATCTCTTTGTCATTTTTCTTTCATACTGCCCTGCCTAGGGTTGTCAAGTTAAAATTGTGGTTAAAAGGGAAATTATTCAGTATGAGTCCCTTCTGAGATGGTCAGAGGACCAATTGTCTAGGTGTCATATATTAAAGTTCTTTAATAGTATAAAGAATCACAACACTTGAAACATATTGTTTGGTAAAGTTTTAGGTACCTTAATGTATGTTTTTTTTTTTTTTCTGGTATCAGGAATCGAACTCATGACCTTGCGTTTGCCAGGCAGGCGCCATGCCATTGAGCTAAATCCCCAGCCCCATGGTACCTTAATGTAATTGTTCTCTTTCCAGTGAAGTATATCTGTGTTATGAATGAGATTATGAAGTTTTCTAGGTGACTTTAATGCTAATTTTTAAAAACTCTGAGACATAGAAACTTTGGACTCAGCTGTCTTGTTTTTTCTTTATAATTGCCTAGGAACCTATTTTAAACTTCTTCAGTGAAGCACATTGTCTTTTAGAGCACACAAAAGAACTATTTAAATGTATCTCAAATTAAAATGGAAGTGATTTGCTATATTTGTACTCATAGAGAATTAAGTTAAAGTTATTAAAAAATACAGAATCAAATAGAATAAGTGTTAAGGATGGAAGCAAGGAAGTTCATGGTAGTAGTCCAAGAACCAGCAATTCATCTGTCTGATTCTTGCTATTCTATTGGCTGTTTGATTTGGTTGGATTAATTTTCTCTGCTTCACTTTTTTTCTCTGTGTGGACTTACTTCAGTTCATACATCTGTAAAATGTTATTAGGTTATACTTTATAGTACTTAGGATTCCAAATCAGTGATAGAATCATGGATGTGTCAAAGCCAAGTCATAATTTAGGCAGTCACTAAATTTATTATATGTTTATGCTTTCAAATTAGATACACTATCCATATAATAGAAAATTATACAAAAGAAAATTAAATTTTTGAAATAAGAATATACAAGGGAATTTTTGAAATGAGTATCTCAGAATCCTAATGCTATTTTAAAAAAATAGATTTTTGAATCTGTAAGGTTAATTATTATTGTCTAAGGACCAACTCTTTTGATTTAAAACCCTTGTAAAACAAATTGTTTTTTGTCTTTTTTGAGACAGGGTCTTGCTATGCAGTTCAGGCTGGCCTTGAGCTCACTTTGTAGCCCACGCTGGCCTCAAACTCGCAATGATCCTCCTGCCTCAGCCTCCTGAGTGCTGGGATTACAGGCATGCACCACCAAAATTTTTTATTGTGTGGTAAGCAACATCTTGTCATAACACTGACCCTCAGTGCACAGGTCACACAACACAAATTAATTAAAGAGGTAGTTTACTTTCTTCTTATTTTGAGACAGGGTTTTGCTATGCAGTTCAGGCTGTCCTTGAACTCACTTTGTAGCCCAGACTGGCCTCGAACTCACTGCCATAGTTTTCCAAGTGCTGGGATTACAGGTGTGTGCTACCACGCCTGGTGGTACTTTTCTTTAAATGTCAGAAATAAAAATTATCTTACTACCTAAATATGATAAGCAGGGATTAAGAACGTCAATTCCATAATCATATCAAATAAATTAAATAGTATGATATCTTAGTCTGTTTGGATTTCTGTAGGACAATACTGTAAAATAGGTGGCTTGTAAATAACAAGTGTATTTTTCAGAGTTTTGGAGGCTAGAAATCCAAGGTCAGGGAAGATTCTGTGTCTAGTAGGACCTACTTTTTGGCTTGTAGATGACACCTTGCTATATCCTCGTGTGGTGGGAGGGACAAGAGTTTTCTTTGTGGACTGTCTTAAAAGGGGGCTAATTCCATTCATGGGGTCTACCCTCATGACCTAAGGACCTTCCAAAGTCTCCACCACCTCATACCAACACCTTGCGGCTTAGGATTTAACATACAAATTTTGAGGGGACAAATACATTCAGAACACAGCAAGCATATGGTTAAAGAATGGAGGATAAATATGAATGAAGAGATAGTAAAAGGTAGAATGGGAAAACCAAACAGAAAGGTACACAGATAACATGGGACATGGTCAGAGAAAGCTAGACATGTATAGAAAGAGATAAAGAAAAAGGATAACTGAATAGTCAGATGAAGACAGGTAAGTAGAACACACTAAAAAGAGCTAACAAATATATAAAGAGGTTCAGGGGTTGAGAAAGTAAAGAATGTACTATATCCATGGGGAGTTTGGTTATTTTCAAGTTCACACAACTTTGACCATGGATATCAGAATCTATTATTGCATCTTAAATCTGTACATCATAAGAACTTATTTTATTCCCTAGATATATACATTTGGCTTTTTGTACTAGAAAAAGGAAAGGATCTGGTTATGAAAATTTTGTTATTGAAAATCAAAATATTTCGTTAAATACTTCAAATATTAGTCTTTTTATTGAGTGGCTAATTCATGACTTAGGTTAAAGAGTTCCTTTGATACATAGATTACCTAAGTATTTCTTTTAATTGAGTTTTTCAGGCTGTGTATTCCATAATTTCTAGATTAAAATTTGAATGCAGAAATTATTTAATTTTTAAAAAAATTTAATCTTTTTGTTTTTTTAAGACAGGATCTCACTGTGTAGTTCAGGCTGACCTTGATCTCATGAAGTAGCCCAGGTTGGCCTCAAACTTGTGGCAATCCTCCTGCCTCGGCTGCCTGAGTGTGTGCTACCATGCCCAGCTAATCTTGAATTCTTTCACCTCCAAATTTATAGTCATATTTTTTGACAAATGGTTTCATAGATGATATGATCCCAAACAACAGTTTGGAACAAATAGATCCTAAGACTTTATTCTGTATATGAGTATTTTATGAAGAGTTAATTGCTTTAATGCTGAGAGTTTTAAGTACTTTGCATTTTGATAATTAAAAACATAGAAAAGTACAGAGATTGTTTACAAATATCTGTATGTAGGGCCTTAATAACCATAAGGAGTGATGAAAACATTGCCAACCTCATTCTCTCTTCCTCTAACCCCCACTACTGCACTGCTAGTGTCCTGTAGTCTGGTCCAACTGTATGCCATCCTTGGCCTTCAGCCTTGGGCTCACTTCAAAAAAATGTCTGCTAGTGGCTACTTAAGTGTTTCCTCTTTTACGCTTAGGTAGTGTGAGAGAGATGGCTTTTCTCAACATCAAAAAAAAAATACCTGAACTTTCTTTTAGAACTGTGCTCTTGGGCCAGATATACATAGGTATTATGTGTTATAGCTCAGATAGATCAGGATCCGTGGCTTTAAAGGAGAGCATGGTTTATTCTTACATTGAGCATGTGCTGCCACATGCTGGGGGGTGGTTAGATTAGACACGAGGGAGATAGCCCTGTTCTCTCTTGTCCCATCCCACTGACCTGAATCTAACTCTGGTAATGCTATCCTAATTTGTTTTATCATTTCCTTGCTTCTGAAAAAGCAGATTCTTTTCACATATATAAAGTATTGTTTTTGTTTATTTATTTTGTGATGCTGGAGTCAAATTCTAGGCTTCACATATGCTAGGCAAGCAGCCTACGAGGTATAGGATCTGGTTATGAAAATTTTGTTATTGAAAATCAAAATATTTCGTTAAATACTTCAAATATTAGTCTTTTTAATTATTTTTGGTTTTAATTATTTTTGCTAATTATAAAAAGGTGTCACACTATATATACTATTATTTGATGTATTTTTCTCACCTATTAAATATATTTTAAAGATAAATTCATGTTGCATGTAGTTGCAGTTCATTTTCATGTTGTATCCTAGTCTCTTGTGTTACTGTACTATTTGGGCTTCTCCCATGCTTGAAATATTCTTATGTGTGTCCTGGGACATGTGTGCAAGTGTTTGTTTAGTCTTATTTTGAGGAATGAATTTGTTGAGTTGAGTAGTATGTTCAGCTTTAAAAGAGGGTATCAAATTATTTTTGCAAATTGTACGAATGGGTATGATACCATTTTTATCCACATTTTGTAGCTTTAAAATTTTCAGGCTTTTAAGATTTTTAAAAATGATATCCCATTATTGTTGTGATTTACATTTTCTTGATTACTAAGCATGTCCTTATATGTTTGTTTGGCTGTACATGTTTCTTCTGTGAAATGCCTTTTTTTTTTGTCCTTTTTGTTACAGGGTCTCACTATGTAGTTCAGGTTTGAATTCACTTTGTAGCCCAGGCTGGCTTTGAACTTGGCAGTGATCATCCTGCCTCAGCCTCCCAAGTGCTGGGCGTACAAGTGTGCACTACCACACCTGGCTGAAATGGCTTTTAGTGTCTTTTGTCCATTATCTTATCTTATTTTACTTTATTTTATTTTATTCATTCATTCATTCATTTCTTTTCTTTTTGAGACAGGGTCTCGCTATGCAGTTAAGGCTGGCCTTGAGCTCACTTTGTAGCCCAGGCTGGTCTTGAACTTGCAACAGTCCTGCCTCAGCCTCCCGAGTGCTGGGATTGCAGGCGTGAGCCACCACGCCTGGCTGTCCATTATTTTAGAATGGCATTTTTTCTTTTTGTATTGACTTCGTGCAGTTCTTCAGATATTCTAGATAACAGTTCTTATATTGCACTTCTCTTTCTCCATTTGTAACTTGACTTCTTTCTTTTTTAAGTATATTTTTATTGGTGCTTATTAATTTTTCAAAGTATTGGGTTCTATGTGATATTTCATACATGCCTATAACATTTTAATCATATTTGTTCCCTCTTTTACTTTCCCTTACACTTCTTCCTGTTTCCCTATTACTTCCTGCTTATCTGATAGTAGACTTTCTCCTTTTGTGCCACTTCTTTTTTCATTCAACATACTAAGAAAAATACGTGATAACTTGTCTTTCTGAGTATGGCTTAGTTTGCTTAATATGATCTCTACTTCCTTCAGTTTTCTTGCAAATGGTGTAGCTTTGTTCTTTATGGCTGAATAATACTCCATTGTGTATATACACCACAGTTCTTTATCCATT